AGGCCCAGAGTTCAGGCCCCAGGACCAGACAAAAAAAGAAAGAAAGAAAAAAAAAGGCCGGACTTATATCGCCATCGTGTGGTCACATTCGGAAACTACAGGCCCGGATAGATTAAACCTATACTCTGGGACATTTGTATGTCTACCTTTTTTTTTTCTTCTTCATTAAACATATTCTTCGACTTAAAAAAATATATATATATATATATCAGAGATTGAAAATGTGGCTTAGTGGTAGAATGCTTGTCAAAATGCATGAAGCCCTGGCTTTGATTCCTCCAACCACATGGAAAAGGCTGGAATTGGCAGTAAGGTTAAACGGGTGGAATTCTAGTTTGAACAAAGGAAGCTCAGGGACAGTGCCCAGGCCCTGAGTTCAAGCCCCAGAACTGAAAATAAATAAATATATCTCAACTGAGAGCAAGTGGCTCATGCCAGAAGTGATGTTGTGGCTCAAATTGGTAGAGTATTAACTTTGAGTGATAAAAGCTTTGAGTGCCCAAGCCCTCAGTTCAAGCCCCAAGGAATGACACAAAAAGAAAATCACTATCAAAGTCAGGTAGTGTGGACCCTGCTATACTCCTACCTACTCAGGAGGCAGACTTCTCCCATTTATGGCTTGAAACCAGCACTGATAGAATAGTCTGGGGAATTCTTATTTCCCCAAAGCAGGAAGGGAATCTGTGACTCAAACAGCACAGTAACCTTGACCAAGAACAAGCTGAGGGACAGCAGAGAAGCCATGAGTTCAAGCCCCAGGACTAGCATATACACACAAAGAAAAATACCTCAAGTGAGAATCTTGTCTTCATGTCTCTTCTCAAAGGCTCAACTCAGCAATAGATCTGGGCAGTCCAAAGAAGAGGGAAGGACTTTGTACAAGAATATCTTCCAGTTTAGCAACACTTTCTCTAGATATCTTTTGGCGAATTTCACAACTCAGAAACGTCCCCCGTAGGTCATGATGAACACCTAGTACCACAGTCAGCTCTGTGCCCACGCCCACACCATGTCACCTGTCCTGCAGCACTGCCTTCCTCCTGCATGTCATGTCCTTCCTTGCTCTCTTACACACCCTGCCACCTGTCTCTTCTGCTAGCACACATGCTGCACAAGCATGACAGTGCTGACATCCTTTGACTTTCTGAGGGATTCCAAATTCAATCTGCAGACCAAGCCAAAGGCCTAAGAACCACATTGTTAAGTGGTCAGAGCAAAGGCCCTGCTGTCTGCCAGGAGATTCCTGTCTTAATTTGTTTCTGGGAATGAAGCTGAGCAGAAGGGAGTGTTTTGGTCAGGGTTGAAAGGACCAAGTCAGCCTTAGAGGGAAGGCAGGGCACAGCAGGAAGCACAGCACCTCTCGTGGCAGCAGGAGGCAGAGCAGGGCAGTAACAGGGTGCAGAGAAAACACAATCCCCAAGGAACCCCACACACAGTGGAGTGGCAACTACCACAGTCTAGGAGCTTCCAGAACTCTCTTCAGGTTTCCAATTTACCAGCTGATGACATCCTCCCTAGGTCAGAGCTCTCATGACCCATTCTCCTTGAAATGCCCTGACACACACAGGTGGACATGAACTCCACTAACTTCCAGATCCTCTCAGCCAATCAAGATGGGGATCATAATCCCTTCCTCACTCTGCTCTTCAATCCAGGAATTTGGGTGGGAGCAGAGCTGGGACTAACCAGAGCTGAGGGCAGGTGGAGGGAAGGTGGGCAGAGAAGATGCAGAGGATCAGGAAGGGAGCTCCCAGGAAAAACCTGACATCCCTCCTCTCTGCTCTTCCCACAGGTGGCTCCCTTGAGGGCACTGGGGACAGCACAGACCCACACTGGAGGCAGCACTGCTAGAAGGAAAGCAAGCTGCCTCACATTGCCTTTCTCCTCACCACACACACCCTGTGCAAGGCTGCCTGGTACTTTGGGAGGCAGTGACAGGAACACACCCCCTGCTGCTGTCACAGGACACCCAGAAGGCCAACAAGACACCAGCTCATGCAGGATGACAAGAAGGGACATAAGTATGGAGGAACAACTTATGGTGCCTTAATAGAAGACTCAGGCCTGAGCCTAGTCTCACCTGCACAGTCTGTGCTGTGTCCTAGACAAAGGAAAAGCCCCTCTGATCATAGGTGCTCATGGAGTAGGTTCTAGGCAAACAACACAACTGAGGAGCAGGGAAGACAACCCAGGTGAGGACTGAATACATGACAGTCCAGAATGGACTGAGCTCCTATCCACACCTGGCTGTTCTCAGGCTAACCCTGGCCCCGCCCACAACACAGCTCAGCAAACAGGATGATTCTACAATTTAATCATGTTTTATTTTCTACCTCAAGTTTGGGGAATCATTCAGTGATTTATTCAATCTTTTTCCACGACAACAATTTGAAACACAGACCCACATCCACATTCTCTTTATCAGCGGGAAAGCAAGCAGCTGCAGCTCAGAGCAAGGGAAAGTGAAGTCAGGGATGGGGAAGCCCTGGCCCCGCCTCTGCTGGAGCAGCAGCTGGAGGGGAAAGAGACCCAGGTCAGTGTGGGGAGGGTCCTGGTGCTCAGGGCTGGGCTGGCTCCTCAGTTCCTCACAGGAGGCTGACAGCACACAGAAGCCTGGACACGGTCAGAACCCAGGTACAGGAAGAGAAGTCAGGAGCTCATGATGTCCCAGGAGGGAGGAGGAGAGGCAGGAACAAATGCTGTGCCTCTCAGACCACACAAAGCAGCTGTGTCACACTGCAGGAGAAAAGCACACGCACAACAATGCAGATCAGTCACTGTTAGCCACACACTCTGAGCAGGCCACTAACACCCAATGCACAGACCCTGCAACTACAACACAGCCTTCCCTGGGCCTCAGCCCTGCCCCCCATTTAGGGTCTCCAGTTGTCACCTTTTTCAGCTCTGAGGGAAGCATCAGAACCCTGGTCACTGTCGTCTCCTGTGGTGGAAGAGAGGAACTGGTTAGAGAACACAGGCGTCACTGGAGGAATTCCGGGTGCATGAGCTCCCACAGGTCCTGTCTGCACCACAACAAAGGTCACCTCCTCCCCCATGGCACTCACTTGCAGCCTTATCATAGCCTTCTCTCTTGTCACCTGTAGGAGAAACACCATGTGAGAGGCAGGACACAAGCAGTGCCATTAGGGCCTGGATGAACCCCTAGCCTTGACCTCATGGGAAGTTTCTAGAAATGTGACCATAGAACCAGGAAGCATCAGGAGAGAGGAGTGCAACAGTTGGGAAGAGAGACCCCAGGACCTCCTGGAGTGTGACCTCAGTGGGCACCTGAGTCCCTGTGGGCCTGAGTGCTGCAATCAGTTCCCATCACCACCCTCAGGAGGGGGAATTTTGTGTCCTTCGTGTTGCAGGTGATTTACAGAAGAGGAGCTGTCAGGCTGGGGAAGGCCCTGAGTGTGCTGCAACTTCCCATTAGGAGTGCAGCTCACACTTCTGCCTGGGGCCTGAAACCCACAAGTGGTCCAGGAACTCAGACCTCCACCTTCCTACCTCCAGTCTTCTTCCTCCACAGCACAAAAACCACCACAGCTACAACAACCAGAACTGCAAAGATGGCCACGCCAATGACAATTCCAGTCTTGGGACCGGTGGGCCAAGCAGGCGGCTCTGGGAAGAGAAGGGAAAGGAGGATGAGCACTGTGAGCCCAGCTCTCAGTCCTTACCTGCTGAGAGCTGCACATGCCTCCTGCTGTCTCTGAGCACAGCTGTGCTCTGTGCCCTCAGCCCTGCTTACCCCATGTCAGGCTGAGGGGCTCAGGCAGCCCCTCATGCTGCACATGGCATGTGTATCTCTGCTCCTCTCCAGAAGGCATCACCACAGCTGCCCACTTCTGGAAGCTTCCATCTCCTGCAGGCCTGGTCTCCACCAGCTCCATTTCCTGGGTCTGTTCCTCTCCATCCCGCAGCCAGGTCAGGGTGATCTCCGCAGGGTAGAAGCCCAGCGCCCAGCACCTCAGGGTCATCTTATGTTCAGAGGTGGGGTGGAGGGTGATGTGTGCCTTTGGGGGATCTGAGAAGAACCCAGAAATTCAGATGCATCTCCGTGCCTCCCATGGAGCACCGTGCAGGTCAGTTGACCATGATGAGGATACGCAGCACAGAGAGGGATCAGGGATGGATGATCCAGGCTGGAACTAGGCTTCTGGAATCATCTCCTAAACCTTGCAGAGTCCTAGACTCAGTTGAGATCACCATGGCCAGAAGCCCCTGATTTCTCAAGAGTTACTTCACTCTGTCCTGGGTGGAGATAAGAGAGACTTTCTCCAAAAACCTGGAAGAGTCTTCTAGCCACACGGGGTCCTGGTTGAGGACAAATGCTGAGAGCCTCCTGGTGCTGCCCAGGGCCACTGCCAGAGTGGAAGGGGCCAGCTGCACACTTGTTTCAGGACAGTCTTCCCCTCCATGTGTGGAGAGATGGGGAGAGGGAAGAGAGGAAGATGGGAAGAGAGAGGGAGAGAAAGGGAGAGAGACAGACGGACAGAGAGAGAGACACACACACAGAGAGCGAGAGAGAGAAAGAGAGAAAGAGACAGAGAGAGAGATAGTGTGTGTGTTTCACTGTTGTGAGGTCAAGGTGGATTCCAGAGCAACTGTGTGACACAGCATGTGAAAGGCAGGGGCTCATGGTTCTCTGGGCAGGGGAAGGGGTGTGGTGGGTAGGGGAAGGGGTGTGGTGGGCTGGGTCCCTTTTCCTCTCTGGCTGTGGGAGTGGAGGGGGACTTCCACAGGAGATGGAGGAGTCCCCGGGCCCTGGTACCTGTGCGCTGCAGCGTCTCCTTGCCGTGCTCCAGGTATCTGCGCAGCCCCTCCACGCACCTGTGCTCCAGGTAGGCCCTCCAGTGCTCTGCCTCACCGGCCTCCTCCCACTTGCGCCTGGTGATCTGAGCCGCCATGTCGGCCGCGGTCCAGGAGCTCAAGTCCTCGTTCAGGGCGATGTAGTCCTGGCCATCGTAGGCGAGCTGATAGTACCCGCGGAGGAGACGGCCGTCTGCGCTCACGTCGCAGCCATACATTCTCTGGAGGGTGTGAGAAGCTGCCCCGCCCCCACGGTCAGCCCGCGCCCCGCGGGGACTTTGGCCTACACGGAGAGGACACCGGCCCCACCCCGCGGCTCTTTCCCGGGGTGCCGGTCCCCCCGCAGCGCCCGCAGCCTGGGCTGAACCTCAGTCCTGACACCCCGGGGG